GTTTTCTTGCATTATATCCCATTGAATATTGATTAATGTGGTGATAAATACTCGTATGCCATTTTCATTGAAACTTGAAACATCTCTACTAACATGAGCTAGTGTTTGGCCCACATTAATTTTTTTTAAAATTTTCTTTTTCTTAATTTTAACCACATATTCTTCAAATAAAATAATATTACACACAAATCTAAAACTTTTCATTATTTTTCAACCACACATTCTTCCATCAACTACTATTCGAAAGTTTAAAATTTCTTCAAAATGGGGACCAAACACTAGCTAAATATACAAAACTAATTCATGAACTTAATACAATATGTTCCTTTCATGACACATGGTGTCGCATGTATCACTCAAATCCATATAATACTTGCTTATTTGACAAGTGAGTTTGGAGAGGATTTTGCTAGTTGGATTTAATTTTGTGGTTACTTTCTTCTCTAGTCTTGCCTTTCTAACTCTCTCTTACTAGTACATTGATTTTGAATTTTGAATTCAAATTGTCTTGGTCCTATAATTAATAGTGTATTCTCTTTGTATCATTTGAACTTGGCAATGACGAGAGAAATTGAGAAGGAACCAAGTGGGAGAGACTTTGTCTTCGGTGAATATTCTTGGTTATCTCTGATAGATTTTTCTTCTTTAATCCATTGCCATTATCATGGATGATGGTGCATTGATCCGGCGTGGTACAAATCTGAGTTCTACATTAAAGACTCCATTGGTGGCGGCGTTGAAGAAACTTTAGGTCGGCTTTAGACACGTTGAGAGATATTATTCCGCATTGTAATTGTAATAAATCATTGTTATCTACATTTTATATCTGCCAATGGTATCAGAGCTTAGGCTAGTGATAAAAGAAAGTATGAAATCAGCCTCAAAATCAGATTAGAAGTTGGAGTGGTTCGGGTTTGTTCGAGAACAACGATACCCAAAACTTCAAATTCTTATTTCGATGAATAAAGGCACTAGGGGATAAACCAAGATCATATTCTGACTCCAGACGATTAGGAGAACATGTCGGTGCAACACGTACGGCGTGTGGAGATAGTGATGAACCACACTTATGGAAAAAAGAGACGTCGCGTGAAAAATACGCGTAGAGACTTCGATGGCATGTGAAGAGGATTTTGACGACGATGGAAAAAGACATTACTTTAGAGGAATTTTCGACCTCCGGTGGTGTTGATTTTCTGATTGGTGCACTGTGGAAGCTGATGGTGGCTCGAGCAATAAGTGAAGACGATAAAGCTTTTCGACGGCGTCTTGATGGTGGTCCCTATGGTTGCTGCAATTCCTGGAAGTTTTATAATGCATTGTGGTAATCCTAAACCTATAAAGACTCGCATCTCTCCTTAAAATACGTATCGACAATTAGCTCATTCGGGCCTCGTTTGACACCCATTATTTTGAAAAATGAGTTTTTGAATAGTGATTGATGTAAAGAATGTGTGGTTAAAAAGTAAGAAGAATTTTTGGGTTTATGTGTAATATTATTTTATTTGAAGAATGTGTGGTTAGAAATGAGTACTGTAGAAAAATGAGAATGAGAATGAGATAAAAAATGGGTGTCAAACAGGGNGCTGAAATTTTGGGTTTATGTGTAATATTATTTTATTTGAAGAATGTGTGGTTAGAATTGTGTACTGTAGAAAAATGAGAATGAGAATGAGATAAAAAATGGGTGTCAAACAGGGGCTCGATTTGCACATTCTAACACTCTCTTGAATTTATAATTTGTGATATTGTGATTATTTGTTGTCATATAATTATGTAATATGAAATTTGACTCTTGACATTGTATGTGTTACTTGTAGAGATATTATGTCATATTGAAAAGTAATTTCTACATAAATTGTTTTGAGTTTACATTTGTGTGTATGTAAAAGCTTTGAGTAAATTTCTATTTTTGAAAATGCTGTTTTGCTATCATGGCCTTTCGGGTTGAATTGTCACAATTTATTGGTAAGGAATATTATTTTATTTGGAAAGAAAAAATGAAAGATGTCTTAATTCAACAAAGAGTTTCTAAAGTTCGTGAAGACCTAGAAAAATATCCTGATGCATTAAAAGTTAAATCAGATGAAATTGTTGAGATAAATGAAATTGCACATAGTTATATTGTGTTGCATTTATTTGACAATATGTTAGGACAAGTTGAACATGAGACTGCAAAAGAATTGTGGGAGCACATGACGACTTATTCTTCTAAAAACCTTTGC